ACATGCATTATACATGAATGGATATACTACCTTTAATGCGCTGTCATAATATATCTGTAATAAACATGAGAAAAAATGCACAACTCAATTTAAATGGATAATTGGTTTTATAATTATCGTTTTGATAATTACCATTCTAGAATAATTTTCTTGGTAATTTTGTACCATTATGTTTGTATTTATCGAAAAGAGAAGCCCTAGTTATTTTATCGAATTCTTACCATTTTCATGTGCGATTGTACTCGTCCAACGTGTTTGTGGCTTAGATAGAATAATAGTTTAAATATTTTTAACACTTGACTCTTATCAATATCGTAATCAATATCTTAGTCACAAAAAAGTTCCATTTTTAGTCTATTACCACTTACATATTCTATAATTTTATTTTCACAAAAAAGCAATTTAGATTTTATCGCTTTATCCATTTTTGCTTCTACAATTACATATAAAAGTACGTAACCCATAACTATTGATAAGCTACACTACATTCCTTTTTATTCATAAAAGTCAACAAAAATTCGAGGCTATAAGAAATATAGCATTTCTTTTATCTTAATATTTATATCGACATTTCACTTTTGAAAGTAGATATTATTTTATGATCTTTTTGGAAGGGAGAGGGCTTTATATATTTTCTAATAAGTTTCTATTCTGTTAAATATGTATATATAACAGCTTCTTATGAAGTAAAAAATCTGAAACCTTGTTTTGAAAATGTATGTGGTTATTTAATAACTCTTTTAGATGTCAAAATCAATCAATTTTTATTTTTGTAATATTATATACAATGTTATGAATGTGATAAAACTCTGGATGAAATTATTATTCTTTTAATATTTTTACTTGAAATTAAAATTAAATATTTTATTATTTCAGTTTTGTATATGTAAGATTCGTACACAATATAGTAATATATTAGAAATATTAAATTATAAATTATACATTTGGAAGTTCCAAGAAAAATAAATGTGATATTTGCTATGTATATAATTTTCACCAGATCTTTTGATAAACATATGATACATTTAATTCTAATTTGAAAATCTTTTAACTTGCACTTACATATTTATTTACATTATATAGGCATTTAAATATTGTTGCACTTTTTATCAAAACTATGTGTTGCTTTCATATATATATATATATATATATATATATATATATATTT